TCATCCGCTACGTTTGGAGGGGTGAACGCTCGAGACTCCGTCATGAACTTCTATGCTTGCCACGGCATAAAGGAGGCCTGGCATTACCCGATTTTAAACGATACCACCAAGCCACTGTCCTCCAATGCATCCTAGATTGGCACGCAGACCCGCAGCAGCGGCAACAATGGGTAATCCTGGCACAAGAGGGACAGGGGGCACACCTACAGGCTGCGGTGTGGGGGAAATGGGCAAATGCGAACTTAGACCGGGAAAAAGAAGGAATTGTGGCACAAATGCTCACCAGCTGGAGATGCATGAGGGAGCAGGTGCAAATCTCGCCCACACCGAGCTCTATGCTGTCCATCACTTATAATGACGCAATAGGGGGGGGCTTACGTCAGCATCGTGGCCCTTTGGAGGGGGCTGCGAATAGGTCCCAATCACAAAGATACTACAGAATGGCGATATACGGAACCTGGACTCCTTATTAGGGGACACGCCCCGGACCCCTCTAACAGCGTTCCGATATATGCAAGTGAAACACTTTTACAAAAGCATGCATGATAAAGACCGCCTACATAGAGCTCTATCGTGGTTTGAGACATTGTGTGAAAGGGGCACCCCTGTGGGGAAGGCAATATCCACGCTTTACCAACACCTCTTAGTCGGACACCTCACGGAAAATAATACCTTTCGCAGGCAATGGGAGACCATGCTCAACACTACCTTTACATACTCGCAATGGGAGAACGCCTTACTCTGGCAACACAAGAGCTCCATCAGCTCACTCTACCAGGAAACCAACTACATAATTATCGCGCTGTGGTATCGGACACCAGCAATCCTTCATAAGATCTTCCCGTCAACACCTCCAACATGTTGGAGGTGCCAGACGGAGAGGGGCACGATGATACACATCTGGTGGGAGTGCAACACCCTTGCTCCATACTGGGAACTGATACGACAAAACATAACCGAAGTCCTGGGAGAAATAACCACATGGACAGCAACTCTAGCACTACTGCATATATCACAAATGTCGATCGCAGGATATAAAAAGTCGATACTACGCCATCTACTCAATGCAGATAGAGCTCTGATTCCTATATATTGAAAGAAGACAGAGATCCCCGGCGCGGAGGAATTGATCCGTAGAGTGGAGGGCATTCAGGGGGCGGAGGCGATGCAAGCATCTCTGCTGGGTAGGAGGGATAGGCACGCAGAACTGTGGCGTCCGTGGTTCGCATTTGTATCCAGGACTCGGTAGGGCGGCGGGGGGGGAGGCTCGCAGGGGAGAATCCGGACCCTCGGGGTGGAACCCACACTCCTCTCATATCAAAACTCCCTAACCCTCGCTCTTTTCTTTCTTCTTCTCTATCACGGCTCTCGTGATTACAATTCACTCTCTTTACCATCTACACATACACACAGCTAACTCAACGAAGACCACGCCACAGTCACATGTCAAAAGAAAAAATAAAATAGAAAAACCAACACTCTAATTACAATTCACAGATACACAGCCAGATAAAGTAGAATTAAAAAAAGATAAATGGAACAAGGAATGATTAGGTAGCTCGGACAGGGAAACTCTGAATCCTTACCACAGTCACCGCACTGAAACATAAGATCAACAAGATCACGGGTAAATGACACGACACCTAGCTACCACACCCATTTCGCATACAATGTCAACCCTCACAGGCACCCATATCCATAACGATAACCCACAAACACGACATGGAGGGCTCGTGGCTGACCACCCGCGCAACATACATATATTCTGAGGGGAAACGGTAGGAATCATGTACAAGTTAATTACTGAATACCGAGTTTTGGTTGTTTACAATGCCGCGATGTAAGATGACGACTGATTTGTTATCAATACTGAATGTTATGCTTGATACGCATTTGAATATAATGTAGCAGATACACACAGGTCGTGCGTGACCTCAACCTGCTCAAATTTGAATTGAAATAAGCTGTTCTATCATTACCTTATCTAATAAAAACAGATAAAAAAAAAAAAAAAAGAAAGAAAGCTGCTTGGCAAGACCTTTCCATTCTCACATTCTCACATCAACCATTACTTTGTGTTCTAGGTTAGGAGATAGGGTATAATTGTACAACAATGTAAGGTGGGAAGAGATTAATTAGCAGAGAAATGAGCAGGACGAGATTAATATAGAGCTCCAGCTCCGAGCATATGCCCTAAAATTGTCCCACCATTATTCTTCCTCCACTTTTATTTAATATTTTCCCCTCACTGGCCTAGCCAATAGGTACTTCCCTCCACAAGTGAGATAGTTAACATTAGACTCCCTCCAGGGCACTCCGCAGATGATCAGGGGGATGACAGCCATCAGACAGCTACTCCTTGCACTGCTGTACATTCAATGTGGTGGGGGAGCACCAGCAGAGGTTCAGAGTGCTGAAAATGGTGATGTACATTTGGTTTGGAAGGGGTTTGTTTTTTTAGGGAACTGTAGATTGGAGATAGATGGTTAATGTGCATATTATTTTTGTGGTGTGACTACTGGGTGGAAGACCATAACGGGCACAAAGTGTGGGAATGTAAATGAAGGGAGAAAGAGTAGTAGAAATGTAAGAGTAGTTCTTTGAGCTAGGGGTGTTAACCAAAGGAGATATAACAAATAAGATGTAAATGGTTGATAATTGGTTTGGCTGTTAGTACAGAGGTGTAATATGCAGTGAGTATAAGTATGTTATAGAGAGCCACAGTAATGTGCAGTGTGTTTATGAGAGTGTTTTAGAGCTCCAAGGTAACAGTGAAGGAGTTTATCAATGAGATATCTCATGACACCACCTTCTTGCAAATCCCAATACACACTCACTGTAAGCAAAGGTCACCACAGTAAGGTTGCCTCCAGGGAAGGGGCTGTAGTAACCACAGAAGAGGACCCTGGAGTAGAACGCAGCTCTGTCCTCTATAAAAGTGCTCTATCATTGTTCATTGAAAAAAAAATTATATTCAAAACTATCTTTTAACCATTTACAGCCTCTTACGCATTAATGGAACTGTCAAATAACTGATGAATTTATTTAAGCTCTGGATATTATCTTAGGACACCTGACACTCAACGTGCTAATTTCCATTGTGTCACACATAGCTCTGGGGTTCATAACATGTTTTTCAACCCCATGACTGTCATGATAAGGAACAATATTCTTCTGCAAGAGACAAAAAGGTGACAGTGTGACAGTGTATTACACCTGAAAGCCATGAGACGTGTTATGAAATGTACAATTACTGAACACTTGTTTTGCAAAGCGTTGTATTTATTGAGGTCTTAGTGCCCTTGTGAATGCAGGTGACTGAGACCTGAAAAATCTGACTCTTATGTTTACATAAAATATAGGAGATTTTTTTCATTTACACTCCCCTTACTGAGTTATTTCAGTTCTTCCAGAACTCAGCAGACTTTGTGTTTGTTTGGGAGTCATTCACTGAACTGCAACATGCACTTAATGAAATGATTGAATTAAATGCTAGTAAGCTCCATTATTTTGTACTGATATTTACAAAATTTACATTTTATACCTCTTATTAATTCTCTGTATAACTCTTAAAAATGAACAGTAAAAGGAAATAGGTTTCATAAGTTAATTGTTAATTGCACTTTTTAGGGTAAAATAGTAAAAATTGACTATTAGTAATAACTTTTCTGCGTCCCTTCCTTACCATATGATTTGGAGCATTTACATTCCTGGTAACAGATTTTTTTCTTCTTTTTTGAAACATACTGGCAAACCGTAATTAAAATATGCATATGTGACAAGCTATCACCATATTCTTTTTTTTTTTTTTTGCATTTTTTTCAAATCCAATATACAGAGTTGCAGTGTGATAATAAACATGTATGTACATCGATAAATCGCTAGTCGTTACAGTGTATTTAACATTTTCTAATTTCGTGCCTTGTTTGCTGTACACTGGCTTCTTAGTTCTAATGTCAACAACAAAAGGGGGTATAGGGAGAGGGGATCAGGAAGGGCAGGGTGGGGGTGGGGAGAGCATGCATATCCATGTTGGTTATTCCATTCTATACCTTGCATTTTATGCTTTACATTCATATAAGCTTGAGTATGGTCACAGCTGTCGGGGCGGTTCAGGCTCCTCATCTGGGTGAGGAGATTCCATGTTTTCCGTTTTGTTGGGCTTACTTAAGCCTCCTTCGGGGAGGCCTAATAGATTACAGGGGCTATCTTGTGTTCAGGATATCCTCCTAGATGTATAAGATAGGTACATCTCCCATGTCGTCCATGCTGGGGTTATAAATGGTTTAATGGGTAAGTGCTTGCGTGCCATCATTTCATGGGTCCATATTCTTAAAGGTGGCCCCTCTTGTTAGCTCCCAAACAATCAGTAACCATAATATTTAAGTTGAGGGAACTTTAATCTATTATACAGACTGAACCCTCACGATAACCAATTAAAATTGGTACAGAGATCACACTCAGATTTTCAGAAATGAAATCTCCTATCTCAGACTCTTTTACATCATCTTGCCTACCTTCAAAGACCACACATTTGGATTCAAGGGAGGATGGCCGAGATATTTTGATTGCCGCCAGTCTGGTTGAATTATTGAATCACAGAGCAGTGCTACAAATGTAATTGACCCACTTTCCCTTTTCTCATCTCAGGAGCCTGACCTGTTTTTTACCTCTTAGCATGGTAAATATTTTATACTAAAATATCAACTCCCCAGCTAAGCCACGTATATTACTATTCTTTTACAACAGAAGTATCTATTCATAGTCCACCTTCTCTTGGACAAGATTTGACAAGCAGAGTATTGTGGGAACTGTAGTTCTAGAGCTAATCTAATTGTTATTGTATTACAATTACAGCATGCTTTGTCTCCTGACAAAATTATGTATTTGTGCCGTGCATCTTTTTTAGTAATGCATGTCTAGTTGTTTGCTAACCCGTGCACGGGATATAATGCATTATATTTAGTGTATGCACATTGCATAATAAAGCTAAGAGTCTGGGGAAACATGGTCCATTTACATAAATAAATCAGAGGTGATCAAGGAGATGAAAAGGAGAGAGGTGCTGGTATTTGATTCTCCTCTAGACCAGTCCTATCCTGAGCATTAGCAAGAGCAATCCTGCAATACAAAGCCCTGACATTACATCACATTACTGAAGAGCAGGCAAATGCACAGAGAGCGACAGGCTCAGAACCAGCAGCTGCTGCCTTTGTTATGACAATGTAAAGGCACTGGGTGGAAGCAGCACCGTTAACGTGCCTATAAAAGAAAAGCCTGTATGCCTTCACATTTTTCTTTATTCAACAAAAGGGGCAAGGAGATACTGAGATCTGGGTGAAGCCAAGAACGATCGAGAGAAAAATAAATTTGCCCTTCCAAGCAAGCAATGCAAGGAAGAGACAAAGGAAGCCATAGAGGGATGGATTGCATTGCTGTCAATGACCACGGATACTGAGAATTTGGATTTCTGTCTACAGAAACGTTCGTCACCCCCAAGGGAGATTGAATCAGTGAGTACTGTGGTCCTGGGTTATGTTGTCAATATGTATCAATGAAAGCCTCAATTATGGCCCAGCCCTGGTTAATCTCTCATCTAATCAATTCATATTACTGAAGCTCACCCTGTGTCATGCACTTGAATTTATACCTTATTTCGTGAGGCTCACATGATGGGAATAAAGCATCTAGGAATAAATGAGTCTTGCTCAGTAGATTTAATATGATTTATATTGTCATTTGAGTGGCATATCATTCATAAGCCTATGTTGTTTCTCCTGTCTATACTAGACTCATCATTGCATGAGGCTCACTCCAGGACATTGTCCTAATCTGCCAAGCCTCACTCCTTTGGAAAATTAAACACAGAAAAATGGCACTGCCTGGAAAAGATGAACGTTACATTTTGGAATGTTGAACTGCAACAAAGCTCTCACTCAGCTTAATGATAGTAATGGCTACATAGTGTTTCCTGAGTTTAGCTTATTTGAAGTAAGGCTGTTTACTTTTGAGTGGGACTTGAGTGTACAAGATTCCATATTGGATTAAGTAGAATTTTGGCCATGGATCATGCCAGCAGCAACTTGGGATCTGAAATCATTCCATCCTATGAGGAGTACGAGTGCAAGATATGTTACAATTATTTTGACCTGGACAGGAGGGCCCCAAAACTGCTGGAGTGTCTGCACACTTTCTGCCAGGAGTGCCTAAATACCCTACACCGCAGGGAGGATCGGCCATGGCGCCTCTCCTGCCCAATATGCCGACACCGTACCGTAGTACCAGACTCCCGGGTGGATGCACTACCTGTAAACACAAAGGTGGCTGAGGCCTTTCCATTATATGTGAGACCTGATGACCCATTTCCCCAGGATATTCTTCCTCCCATCACCTATCAACAGCGTGGGCTCCAGTATCACCACAACCCGGTGGGTGGAGTACTGGTTCATGGCTCCGCAGAGCTGCACTACACTCTGCATCCCGGACAAGAGCTAGCATCATCCACCACAACGGGCACTAGAGGACAAGGATCATTTTCAGGCCTAAGTCAACCGCATTCTGTGGCTGCCCCATCTCCCAGAAGAGGTTACGATAGATGCCAGAGTTGTAAGAGAGCAGTGCTGACTGCAGGATGTGTGTGTGTTGTTTTTTCGTTTTTGGCAATGGTGGTTTTGTTGTTTGCAGGTCTTGTGTTTGTAAATCGTCACAGCGGAGCCCCTGCACCTTCCCCAGCAGGGCCTATTTGCCTTTCGGTGGCCAGTGTGCTGGCTCTCTTCTCAGTGGTGGTTACTTGGATTATCTGCTGGCTGAAATACAGACCCGAGCCTGGGGAGGGAAGTAGGGGGTCAACAGGGAGGAGAGATACTTGACAATGACTAACCCATATTCTGCCATTCTCAATCTGTGCTCCCTGATGTAATGCTTTATGGGCAACTCAGGAGTTAAAACAGGCACTGATTCCTAAAATTAAATAAATGTGTCCATATGCATTTTGGGTGCCAGAGCTTGAAAGAAAAATGCACTGTACAACCTTCAGGTTCTCAAAGGGTTTAATAAAACGTGTTATGTGATTTTATGAACAGCAACAATCTTCTTTGTCACTGGAGTCCCACAATCTAGTCCTTTGTAATCGATTCCCATGTATATGCAGACAGTAGCATTCATGTTTACTTATGTAAGCTTTAATGAGCATTATATAAGTGAGAAAATGTATAGCAAATTATTGCTATAAATAAAAAAAATATTGTTTATATTTGGTGATTTACCACTATTTATTTCTCTTACTTAACCATTCCCCTTCATGTCTATGTGCAATAGAAATTCCATTATGCAAAATTTGTTGCAAGCACACAAAAAAATCATACAACGTAACATGACATTGTCATACATGTAATATGTTCCACGTGAATGCACTGATCTGGCATTAAACTGGTTAATTACAGTAAATACAAAATCAATTGTGGGTCTCCTGCAACAACAAAATCATTTTGTCGGCTGCTGGGAGTCTAGAAACACAACACTCAACACAATATTGAAATGCATATTATTATTTTTGTTCCTTTTCCATAATTGTTTTACAATTTGCATTTATGCTGTCCATAAATATGCACATTGCTTTATTCGGTTTTAACCCCATGAAGTCTTATTTGCTCTGTGTTGTCTATCTTGACCTTACATTTGAATTCTCAGTGAATATTTTGTATGAGTGAGTGCTAAGCAACAACTCTTAAGTCAATGCTTTGCTTAGCACTTTGACACTCGGAGTTAATTTAAAAGGATACTCTAAGCACCTTAATACAGTTTTAGTATATAGATCATGCCTCTGAAACCTCATGGCTCAGTTATCTACCATTTAGTTGTTAAATCAGGTTTGTTTCTGTTCATGCAGCTCTAACCCCACCTCACCTGGCTGTGACTCAAACTGCCAACATGAAAAAAAATGGTTTCATTTTCAGGCAGATATTACAGCACAGTGTGTTTACTTTTGAAGTTTTTCCTGCTCTGTTACTTGAACTTTAGTTGCACACACAAGTAGCTGTTAAGGGCTATAGCAGGTTATTAACAGAGCATGCAATAATATATTCTAAATTAAACAGACTGTGTTTAAAGGAAGTTTGAACATTAGATTTCTCTTTACAGGAAATGTGTAGGGAGACTATGTAGGACACAGGCAGGGGAGACGTGGGTCTACATAAACAGAGTGATTTAACTCCTAAATGGGAGAATTGAGCAATTAGACTGCAGGAAAATTATCTATATACCAAAACCACTCTCTGAAGATAAAGTTTTTTTTGGCAGTTATAGTGTCCCTTTTACCAGTATAACTAAGCGTAAATGCCTATGAAAATAAGCAGATTTATTTTTTTTCAAAAAAGGACAAAAGGCACAAATGAGCATAAACACAATATGATTTATTTATTAGAATTTATTATTCATGACTTGAGACTTGACTTTCTATGTCTTTTGATTTATCAGGGTATGCATAATTTGATGAGCACAATGTTTACAAACACACATATTTCAGGTGTTTGTACAAGCAAGCAATAATATGTTGCTTTATAAATTATTTTACAATTATTATTCTTGTTGAACAGTTATCTATTAATATTTGTTACATTCCAGTTGATATTATTGTTTATACATAAGAATATGTAAGGGGATTTATTATACAAAACCAAAATGGTGGTGACACACAACTTTTTAGGTTTTTAAGTAAATATGGCAAAGGGACCTTATGTTTGAGCCATTTTTTTTTTTAAATCAATACTGAATTTGTTCATACAGTGTAAAATATTGTCATGTGCTGTGACCGCGTTTGGTTGAAAGTTCACGTTTACAGGCAGCAGAATCTTTAAACAGACACCCACCCAAAATAGTACTGTTAAGATGGCTTATAGCTAAAACGTGTATCCTAATGTTTTACATAGATAACATATTCAATTTACAGTGATATTTGTGTGGTGTAATTGGTTATCAAGATGTGGTTTTTTTGGTATTAAATGGAATGTTATGGTATAAAACTTTTGGAACCTGTTTTGTTTATTCATAACAACCTGAATGTTCTTGTGGGTTTTAAATGATGCAACTAACTTGACAAGGAATACAAAGAGTAGGAATTGTTTAATGTACAAAACATTTTCATGCAGGGCTCCCCAGAACAAGGTTAAAGGGACATGCATCACTTGACAATTATTTTTTGAAACCTGAAAGTAAACCCTATAAAACAAATATAGAAACCAAAATAAAGCAATAAAAATATTGAAAAGTATGTAATATATATACATATATAAACTTACTAGAAACATGGTCAGATTGCATAATTGGACACGCCTCTACATTTCTCCTACCTCGTCCTTCCCTCTTGCCCACCCAGCTCAGTTTCAGACCAGTCCATTAATGACAGAAACAGGGCATTATTGTGCAGCAGCATGAGAGAGAAACGGACCCAGGAGTCTGCCTTGCTCTTCCTCCATTGGCAGGATGTTACAAGGTGAAGAGATCTTCCGACAGCACATGTGTAAATCTGTCAGGCATGCCCAATGCACCTTTTCAGCATTCTTAGGGATAGGAGACTGATTTCTTAGATCAGTAGTACTCCTGGAGTGGGTGTGGAAAGCATATGAAAGTAGAAGCAGGTAAACATGAAAAAATATATTATTTACCTGCTTTTTCACTCTGCAGAGTGAGGCAACTATCTCCTTCAAAGCTAAAGCTTTTGAATGAGACAATTGTCTCAAAGTGATGCATGTCTCTTTAACCGTTTTCCATGTACACATATTAGTTTAATATTTTTTATACATCTTTTATCTTAAAAAAACACTATAGACGGCATAACCACTCCATAGGGCATATGGTATTCACTTATGGTTTAGTGTCAAATTGTTTTCAAATAGTTTCTCACTAAATGAGGGTCTCTGGCCGCCCACAGCCTAGCCACCTATTGGAGGAATGGCTAAGGCATATACCAACTATACTAGCAATGGGACACTGTGATAGCCTGACAGTGGTCAGCTGGTGCTATTAGTCAAACACTGCTGCCAATCTTTGCTCAGGCTAATACAGAAGCATTAGCCAGAACAGCAGCATTATGTATTCAGTATTAAGCCGTTCAAAAATGATTTAACACAAACCATGGGCAGGGGCAAAGGACTCCAGGGACCATAGCCACTTCAAAGACATGAAATGGTTATGTTGTCTAAATTGTCCCTTTAAGAAACCAGAAAATACCCAGTTTATTATATTGCAACTAACAGACTGCCAAAGTAAAACATCTTGTTAAGTAGTGTCTAGTGTTATCAAAAAGTATTTCTTATAGCGATCCACACACTTTCTAAAATGAACGATAAAGAGTTAACCTAAAAACAATTCCAAAAAAAACAAACACTGTATAAAATTCAACTGTATTTACCTTCTACTTTTATTGTTTGAAATCAATCATTTAGCTGTCAGATCACTCTTATACCTGCTGAAGAGGTTTGAAAGAACGATGGCATCTTGTTTTTACTGATTTATAAAAATATTATTTGCTTCCCAAATTGAGCGTGTTAGGCACTGTTTGTGGACTAAGACTACATGTTATTCCTTGCTATTAGAGCAGTCCTTGAATCATCTCATACAAACTGCTCTGATCTTTCTGCCCTCTTCCAGTATTGTTGCTTTGGGGGAATTCACATTTTAAAAAACTTTTATTTATCTTTTTATTCTTTTTTAGGAATAGAAAGAACTGATCGGTTTTCTCAGTTAAAGGAGCCAAATGAGTCTCCCTAATAACAGGCTACAGTCTCCTAAGACCTTAACATGTAATTTTTACCGTGTTTACTGTTTTACTGTGTTTACAAATGAAAACATTTGCAAAGTGTCCCTGTGTGCCACTCTAACTGACCGGCTTACACCATCTATTTCCCTAGCAACAGACTTTCAGATCTTTAAACTGACTTCCAAGAGAATTCAGTGATAGCAGAACTATATACACGGCCTAATAATCTAACCTGAATATTTTTTAAGCGGACGTTATCTCCTTTAAGAGTAATGCTGAGCTATTTTATTTGACAATGGTCCTGTTGCCATAGAGATTGAAAATTAAAAATTGTAGATATAACTCAAGATGCTAGAATATTATTCAAAGTGCTATGTATTAAAATATATTTCTTATTATAGTGTTATATTAAATTTGCAAAACTAAAATAGATTTATATATATATATATCTCATGCCATCACTACTCACCGAGAAGCAACATCACAAAGGTATAAATATCTAAGTTGGGAAAAAAAGTGACTGACTCATGGAGATCCTACAACACTTATTTTGAGGGTGTATAAAATATTAATGCTGAAAGCACACAGTAATGCAATATATGTCCCTTGCATTAAATGATGGGTGCACATAGGCCCAATTATTTTAGCGGAATCAAATCATGTAATATTCTGAATCGCATACACTCACCCTGTTATATCTGGTACATATTCTACATTTTACTCCCACTTGAGTCTTTTTAAAGCAAATCACTGTTCCAGTGGCGGCTGCAGACATTGTGAGGTAGATGTGAATGTATATATTATTAACCTGTCAAGTTATGGTCCTGTATGGTTTGAAACCATAAACTATATAAGAAAGAATATTTATACAGAGCCAGAAAAACTCAAATAAAGGAATGCTCAAAGCACCATAACCACTACAGCATGCCAGTTATGGTGGCAGGCAGGGGCATAACTAGAAACTACGTGGCCAGGTACGAAAATTGCCCTGGGGCCCCCCCCATATGCCTACCCTCCCTCATACGTTGTCCCTCCACACATGCAGACACACACATACATATACAGAGACACATACATGCATACAAACACAGACACATATATACAGACACACAGTCAGAGATACATACAGACATGCAAACACACATACATACACATTCATATAGACAAACACACACATATACAAAATATTTTAGTCACCCTCCTGTTTCCTACCTTTTAGATGCAGGAGGGTGACTTTACCTGGGGTCCAGTGGTGGCTCAGCCTGATGGGAGTCAGAATTCCCACTCTGACTCCCTCCTCTCCTTCCTCCTGCGCGGCTCCTGGTGGTTGCTGAAAGGAAGTCAGAAAACACCACTTACCCCCATAATTTAAAGGTCTGACATGCAGCATCCCAGAGTGCATTTGTCAGATACCCAGTGTTGGGGCAAGTTGTCAGGATGCATAAATACACACCAGTTTCTGATTATCTACACAATATATGGCTAGATAAGCAAGTAGTACTGATCAAAGTGTACTCAAGATGGCTGCTCCCACAGAGCAAGGTTAAAGGGACACTGTAGTCATCAGAACCACTACAACTTAATGCAGTGATTCTGTTGTCTGTAGCCTGCCCCTGCAGGCTTTTCAATGTTTCATTTCTCTGAAAAGGCAGTGTTTGCATAACTGCCTAAAAACACCTTTATTGGCAGTCACTCAGATGGCCACTAGAGGTGTTTTCTAGTGCACTGGCATTCAGTGTCTCCACGTTCTGTATGGAGATGCTGAACATTCCCCATAGAGATGCATTGATTCAATGTATCTCTATGAAGAGATGCTGATTGGCACAGTGTGTCATTTTACCCCACATGCTTAATAGCTTATTTCCTGTTGTAAAGCATTGGATTGGCTGAGATCATCAAAACTGATAATCTCAGCCATGGAGATGGGACCAGGCGGAGCCAGCAGCGGTAAGACAGGCGTGGCGTGGGAGAAAAGTTTAAAACATTTTTAAAGTGATCCAAACTAAATAGTTTAATACTATAGTGTCACCAATGCATGTTTGTATTCCTGTCACTATGGTGTTCCTTTAAACTGTGACATGCACTAAAAGGAGGTATTTATTTTAATTTTATTTAAATAATACCAGCAAGTAACTTATTTCTTTAGTTTTTACTGTATCTATTTGGATTGATGTGAACTATAGTCATTGCTGCCACCCAGGAGTAGTGGGAGTTTGAGCGCAGGGCTTAAAGGACCACTATAGTGCCAGGAAAACAAACTCGTTTTCCTGGCACTATAGTGTTAATAGGTCCCACCCTCATGGCCCCACTCCCGCTGGGCTGAAGGGGGAGGAAGGGGTTAAAGTCTTACCTTTCTCCAGCGCCGGGCTGCCTCGGCGCTGGGGAATCTCCTCCTCCCTCTGACGTCATCAGCTGAATGCGCGGCAAGAGCCGTACACGCATTCAGTCAGTCCATAGGAAAGAATTTCTCAATGCTTTCCTATGGACGCTGGCGTCTTCTTACTGTGAAAATCACAATGAGAAGCGCGGAAGCACCTCTAGCGCTGTCAATGAGACAGCCACTAGAGGCTGGATTAACCCTAATGTAAACATAGCAATTTCTCTGAAACTGCTATGTTTACATAGGCAGGGTTAACCCTAGATGGACCTGGCACCCAGACCACCTCATTAAGCTGAAGTGGTCTGGGTGCCTATAGTGGTCCTTTAATTGTGTATGTTTGTATATGCTTTTGTATTACACAGCCATGTTACAGTACTGCCACCCACCTTATGTGTTCCCTATTAAGGATTAATAGTGTGTAGCGGTTTATAAAAATTCCCATCTATGTCTCATTAGAGATTCACCTTTTATCTGAAAGCAGCAAGGTAAATTGTTAGTGTAATACTCACCTAAAAGGTTTTACCGTGATGTGGCAGGTGAGCTCATACTTGAATGGTCATTGGAATGATACCAATAAACCTCCAGTTATTTAGATGTGCATATGGATTTGGTATAGTGCACAAGTAACATTTTTCTTTGTTATTTACTGACACTATGGTGTTCCTTTAAGCTGCGAGAAGCGCTAAAAAGAGGTATTTATTCTAATTTTAATTCTTTTTAAATAATGACAGTTTTCCTTTAAATAATCACAAACCCCCTAACTAGACACACTCTGTGTCTTACAAATACTCTTAATTGCCCACAAAGACCTATCTAATTAGCCCAACCCTCTCACACATATTAAATTAGTTACACTACCTCTAATTTGGCCTGACTTGTGCGTAGCTAACCAAAGCCAATTAGCCATTAACTCTCAAACAGACTTAACTAGACACACACACACACACACACATCTCACGCAATAACATACACACACAAAAAACAAGACCTATGTATTCCTTTCTCCTGGAGCTACAGCATACTTGCATTTGTGGTCAGGAGGTAAAGATGGAAAGTGAAAGTCCAGAACCCACATTAGGTAGTGGGGTGCATTGCACAGAATAGAATCAGCTTTTCTGTGAAATTCAGGTTAACAGACAGGTTAATTGGAATAGGAGCACACATACTGATGGAAGCTAAACTAAGACTTCTTTATGATATAGATAATAATATAAAGCATCAGCACCTACCTGCAGACCTGGTCATCTTACTGGGGAATATGTAGCTGATGATCATATTAGACATGAAACCAGCACAAAAATCCAACTGGTTGCGAACTAAAATGACTCATTTTGTAATGCAAAAAACTATATCAGTTTGACAAAATACTGTAAAGAAGCCCAGAGAGACCATGTGTTGTTAATATTTTTTCTCGCTTCTTAACTCAAGAAAACAACTTAAAGGGACACTGTAGGTACCCAGACCACTTCAGCCCATTAGTGTGGTCTGGGTGCCAACTCCCATCACCCTTAACCCTGCAAGTGTAATTATTGCAGTTTTTATAAACTGCAATAATTACTTTGCAAGGTTAAGTCCTCCCCTAGTGGCTGTCTAACAGACAGCTACCAGAGGGACTTCAGGCTTCTTAAACAACTTTTGGTCGTCTAAATAACGCTGGACTTTCTCACGCTATGTATTATTAAGAGGGTAGATAGGGGAATCTGCCGCTCTGATCGTCTCAATCGGACAGTTTGATGTCTCCCAGGTGTTCGGGTCGGCATGTTGCTGACAGAGTGGTGCAATTAACTTAAATGGTTATATATTATTTAGTAACAATAAACAAGCAATATGGTGAGAGCAAAGTGAATAAACCAATTATGGAAAATATAAAAAACATGCAGTTTTACCATAAGTCTGTAGACATCCTAAAAATATTAAATACAGAACATAGTATAGCCTGCATATAATAAATGATAAAAGTAGATTAAAAATATCCCACTCACGTGGTGCTGAGCCGTAAAGAAGTGGCTCAGACTATAAGCGCCTTTTCCAAACAAATTGGAGATCGTAATGCTGGTACCAAGATAAAGATGCTCACTGTAGAATTGCTACTTCCCCTTGTATAGCTTAGGTAAACGCCAGGTAGAAGATAGATACAGGAACAAAAAATCTTTACTGGTAACATAAAAAAACAGAATCTCCTACACAAACGGAATCTCCTATATATCTACTTTTATCATTTATTATATGCAGGCTATACTATGTTCTGTATTTTATATTTTTAGGATGTCTACAGACTTATGGTAAAACTGCATGTTTTTTATATTTTCCACAATTGGTTTATTCACTTTGCTCTCACCATATTGCTTGTTTATTGTTACTTTATGTATTTTGTGTGATTTGGAGTGATTCACACTTGGTAATTTTGAGCATATTTTCAATATTTCCCCTTTTTTCACTATTTTCTTTATATATTATTTAGAAATTATGGAAAAAGCAGGAATGGTGGTGGGGTATGCTTCTATGTCAACCATGAGTTAAAGCCAAATATTAAGTAAGTGGAATATGATGATGGAAATGCGGACGCTCAATAGGTATATATCTTTTCGAGGCAAAAGAAGGAAACTCAATTTATTGGTTGGGATATAAACCTCCTAAGGTTAATATTGTTGAAGAAGCAAATTGGGAAAGCTGCACATTAACACATTAAATATAAAAAAGAAAACCAATTGAAACCAATATGACTTAGTGGAAGGTAACCCAATAAATTAAAAATAAGAAAAAGGCATGTAAATCAGACAAATCATAGGCAACCTATCTAAGATATACAAAAGCAAATAATGCATACAAAAAGGTGATTAGATGGGCTAAACTAGAAAATTAGAAAAGGATAACCAAACCGCATCCCCCCCACCCCCAAAAAGAAAATTAAGTACATACATTCTAAAAAGAAATGAAAAAATAAAAGTGTAAGTACACAGAAAACATAGATGGGTGCATTATTTAATGAAGCCCAAGAAAAGGCAGAAATTGTAAATAACAATTTTTTTCTTAGTATATACTAAGGATGACCTTATGGCAAGAAATATGCAAATTATTGCTGCAAAAAGCTTGCAGAAAATTTGTGATTGGATGACTCAAGATGAGATGCTACAGCAGCTTAACAAAGTTAATGTAAACAAAGCTCCAAGCTTGGTGGTATTCATCCACAAGTACTTAAGGAACTAAGTGTGCAAATAAGTGAATCTCTGTTTTCATTCTTTCAGGATTCTTCTCTCTCAGGAATTGCACCAGAGGAATGGAGGAAGGCAGATGTGGTCCCTATATTCAAAAAGCTTTCAAAAGCTTTGAATAGAAATTATAGACATTTGAGCTTAACTTCTGTGGTTGGGATTCGGGAAATTATTTAAAGGGTTATTAAGGGATTATATTCATGAATTAATTTTGAAGAACATTGTTGTTAGCAAAAATCAGCAAGATTTTATAAAACATAGGTGATGTCAAACTAACTTAATTACATTCTACGAAGAAGTATGTAGAAGGATAGATCAGGGTGTTGCAGTTGATGTGATCTACTTGGATTTTGCCAAGGCATTTGATACGGTTCCTCACAATGGGTTGATGTTCAAACTAAAATGAATTGGTCTAGATGAAAATTCTTGTTCTTGTGTTAAAGATAGACTACATTGAGTTGTCCTTAATGGTAAATTTTCAAACAGGATAAAAGTGGTAAGTGGTGTCCTTCAGTGTTCTGTTCTAGGACTGCTTCTATTTAACATGTTTATAAATGATCTTGAAATAGGCATTGAAAGACATGTTTTAGTGTTTGCAGATGACACAAAATTTTCTAAAGTAATACAATGTGAGCAGGATATTACTTTGCTGTAGAGGGATTTAGATAGATTGGGGAACTGGGCACTCAAATGGCAGATGAAATTTAAGGTAGCTAAAGGCAAACTCATGCACTTCAGGGTGAAGAATGCACAAGCAACTTACACCCTAAATGGTAGTGAATTAGGGATAACAACACACAAGAAGGATTTGATATTTGTTATGGACATCAAACTAGGCAACAATGTGCAATGTCAATCAGCAGTTGTTAAGTTCAATAGGGTATTGACATGCATAAAAAGGGACATTCATTCTCCGGATAAAAATATAACTTTGTTTCTTTATAAATTAATAGTAAGACCACACCTTGAATATTCTGTGCAATCTTTGGCACCTGTTCTAAAGAAGGATCTTATGGCAGTAGAAAAAGTGTGCCTCAGAGGGGATTTGATAGCATTATACAAATATATTCAGGGCCAATAAAAACAATTGTCTGGAAATCTATTCATTAACAGGACTATACATAGAACACAAGGTCACACATTTAGACTGGAAGAAAGGAGATTTAGTCTAAGCAAAGGAAGTACTCTTTTACCGTATAAACATTAAGGGTGTGGAATTCTCTGCCTTATCAGAGTCTGTACAGATGTGTAAACAGCAACTTGCTGACTACTTGCAAAAACATAATATTCAGGGATATATTTATTAATTTGTGGGGTCATAGCTTCTTGATCCAATGAGAGATCTGATTGTGATTCTGGGGTCAATAAAGATTTTTTTCCTAGTTTGAAGCAAAATTAGCAAGTTCTTCAAACTGGGTTTAGGTAAACTATATACTTTATATAGGAATATGACTTGATGTAAAAAAGTTCAACATGCTTAAAATCTGCCTCCTGTGTCCATAAAATGCAAAACCGCTCTGGCTTTCATAGGGTTAAAGCTTTAAGAGACAGCAATATCATTTCTTGATTTATTGGGATCCTTGATTTGAATATAAGGCAAAATAATTTCATAGTGACTACTCAACAAATTGTCATGTTCTATTTTCCTTTATTTGATTATTTAATTACTCATATAAATATGTATGGAGATTTCTAGATATTCCCTACACAGAAAAAACTACTAATATTTAAAAATCATTTTAAGTGTTAGTATCTGTATTTAGCTTCAATGAATGTATTTAGTGTTATTGACTTTAATTATAGGCGTCAATATTACACAGTACATTACATTAGGGTATGTGCCCACAGAAAATGTATAAACTTTATTAAAAGTACTAATGAATAAAATCAGATCCAAAATACATTGATTTGTTTTTCTGATAATCATATGTATACAGAGGAAGTAACACTGTAAAAGACCTTTTTGGTGAAACGCTTTAGTGTTTTTATGTCATTGGTTTTATTATCTTTGTTTTAAATAAAAAACAATTGTTACCTTACCTGGACCTTCCTGATTTTATCCCTGAAGACTTTATCCGGAGGAGCCACACTGAGCAAAGACCTAATTTTTTGCTTTCCATATGTGAGTATACCTCCTTTTATTTTGCTTTCACACCAACAAAACAGAGTGCATTATTTTCTGTTTTATTCTAATTTTATGTAATTGGTGAATATCTGTAACACTACATTTTGGAGGGAAATACCCGTGAACGCTCAACACTTCAACTGGCCCTTTACCTTGGCATATCCACAGGCGGGGATCATACCGCCCAGGTGCATATATCTGGAGCTGAACATAAGCTCCAGAAAATTGTAAGTGGCACTTCCCTTATTTTACCTCACCACCTATAGAATATACTACACTATATTTTGTTTTATCTCCTCATATTTTCCATACTGACTCACCACCATACGAGATTGTGGACACCCAGAAGGCTCTGTTTCCCTTTATCCTTTCCTGACCTATACCTAGTTACAGCCAGAGAGAAGAGATTCTAGTTTGGAAAGTGCCTGCTGCCATAACCGGATCTAACAAGCAGTGGCGTACACACAATCCATGGGTCCCCGGTGCAAAACTGATCCGTGGCCCCCCCCCCGATCCGTGGGCCCCCCCTAGACACAGACATACATACAGACACACACACATACACACAGACACATACATACAGACACATACAGACAGATACACACATACATACAGACAGATACATACTGACAGACACACACACACATATATACATACATACATACATACATACATACATAGACACACATACATACAGACATACACACAGACAGACACATACATACAGACAGACACCCCGACAGACACACACACACACATACAGACACAATACAGACATACACATAAAGACATACACACACAGACACATAAATATAGACACACACATACATACAGACACACACAAATACAGAAACATACATACATACAGACACACACCCACATACATACAGAGACACACACATGCAGACACATACATACACAGACACACACATATACACAAACAAACACACACATATACAAAATGTTTAAGTCACTCTCCTGTTTTCTACCTTTTGCAGGATGGTGACTTTCCCTGGGGTCCAGTGGGGGGCTCAGCCTAATGGGAGTAAGAGTACTCTGACTCCCTCCTCTCCTTCCTCCCGCGCAGCTCTCTAATAGCTGGGAGTAGTGCCTGGAGCAGTCACTTCCTCCCAGCAGTGATGTCATCACAGGGGGCCTGGTCACGCTGTTAAAGCGCCCAGCGCTGACTGGGCCCCCTGAAAATTCATATCCATCGGGTGGCCCTAACAGCATGGGCCACCCGATGGACCTCTTTATGTGCGGCCCCGGTGGTTTGCCAATCGGGCCAGGGCCGCAAAAGATGGGAGGGTACCTGATCGCAGGGGTCCGCAGGACGGCCGGGCTCCCTGGAGTGACGGGCCTGGTCGCAGGTGCTACCCCTGCAAAAGTGCTATGTACTCTAGTGCTAACAAGCGCTAGGAACCTCACCATTGCATGTAGAGGAAGTAATAATGTTCATTCCCTCAAAAAAAAAACCATAAAGACATAAACAGGGGACACTAAATCTGAAGATGGCCTTTCCATATTTTAATTCTATTGATATTTATATATTAATATTTAATAGTGATCCAACCTATATGAAACTGTATGTAAGCAGTATGGTGGTCCTTAACTGGCCCAGGTTAGTACTCCATCCACAGATCATACAAGGCCAACCGGTTCACCCCAGAATATGCATATAAGAAACTTCTGTTAACAGTTTAATGAGAAGAGCATTATTAATGTGGTTTAAATAAGCTACTCCAAAAACAACAAAATTCCATTTTCAGATGCTGGAAATCCATGGACGGTATAAAAAAAGTATGCCACATGGTTTCATTTTCCTTCCATGTGTTAACTTGAAATTAAAGGGTAACAGTCACTTCTCTGGTATTACACTATTGAAAACACATTGATAATCACCTATAATTTTAATGTGCTTTCTTTTTCATGTGTTGCTCTGTTTTCATTGAAATGTATATTATAGATTTATAAATTTACATCACAATCCAGTTCAGTCCTGAAATAACCAGCAGGGGCGGGCTAGGCCAGGGGGCAGGGAGGCAATTGCCCCCCAGGCCGCCCTAAATAATTTTAAAACCGGCCGCGGTGGGCTGGTCCAAATGCTGCAGCCGCCTGAGCGCTCTGTAAAGAGCCTCTGGTGGCTGCAGCACAGCTTCCCACCTCCCCTCCCCTCCCCTTTCCTCCCCTTCCCTGTAGCGTGGCAGAGCTCCTCTTTGGTCCGCGGTGCCCGGCCGGACTGATAGAAAGGTGCACACTCAGTGTGCACTTCCTGTCAGTCCGGCCGGGTACAGGAAACAGAAACTCCGCGCAGTAACTGGCCGAACTGTGATTGCACTGTGGACTCTCCGGACCGGAGAGGAGCTTGGCCACGCTACTGGGAAGGGGAGTAAGAAGAAGGGGAGGGGTAAGAAGGGGAGGGGTAAGAAAAGGGGGAGTAAGAAGAAGGGTTGGAGTAAGAAGAGGTGGGGTAAGAAGAAGGGGTGAGGGTAAGAAGAAGGGGAGTGGTAAGAAGAAGGGGTGGGGTAAGAGGAAGGGGTGCGGGTAAGAGGAAGGGGT